ATGTTTTCAAGTACATTAGCAGCTGTGGATTGGTAAAATTAGACAAAATAAATAAATTTACAATATTTTGTGTGTCAATAGCAAATGATTGTGTAGCCATGACATTGCTTGTAAGTTGTAACCATCGTTTTTAATATATATACATACATATATATATATATATATGATACGTAAGTATTTAGATCTTTTACTCCACTAATTTTATTATAGACACTAGCAAATCATTTCATTTACAAGTATCAAGTAAAATTCTAGCTTTAAGGGTAGTGGACATGATCCATTGATATTTTTTTGCAGACAAATGGCATTAAAAGGATTTAAACCCACATTTTTAACATGATTATTCAAATTACTCATTAATCACTTTAGCTAATTCCAATAGGTTTCTAACTTATGATTGTAAACTTACAATTATATTTGATATTATAATCACATCATTTTGAGGTTTTCAATAATTAATGGTTAAATTGATAAAATTATAAATTAGTATTGAATTAAAATTTACTTACACATTATTTATTCAAAATCTTAACTATTTATTTTTTTAGTATGAATGGAGGAGATTTATCATCCTTTGTAGACTTTCAAATCAAGAAATTGTGTCAACTTTTGTTTTTTTTTTTCTTAGGTAAAATGTAAAAGAATAGTTTGCTCTTTGCTCGCCATGCGGCTGTTTAGAAAATGATAGCAAATGAAGGTACATAACAAATTTCAAAAAAACCTACTACATAATAAATTTAAAAAAAAAAAAAGACAAGAAAAAAGTAAAATACAAATGATCTTTATTTAAACCAAACGCAAGCACTCTTACAATTCTTAATTAAGAAATAAAAGTAACATACATTTCTGATTATAAACAAATTAAATTATCCCGTGCATCATACATATATATATATATATATATAATTCACACAACACACTGATCTTACTGTTCTTTTTCTTAATTAAGAACCAAGTAGGAACAAGAAAAAAAAATAGTAGTACTTGATAGAGGAAAGCAAAATTAACACACATGCATATAATTAAACGTACGGAGTCCAGTCCAGTAGGTTGAAGATGATGAAGCAGGCAATGACATGTTTACATGATTGTGCACAAAATTTGATTTTCTTCAGTACAGTAATTGACGCAACCGCATCTGTAGCAGCCCCAACCCAAACAGTCGCAAACCGGTCTTCCACAATATCCATATGGACCCCAACAAAATCCCGGAGGAAGAGTAACCTGAAGCTTCACTTCCTCATTTTTTTTCTTCTCCTCTTTCTTCTCCTTTGGAGGCTTTTCCGGTTCCGCCTTTTTCTTATCTGAAGGCTCCTTCTTTTTCTCCTCTGGAGGCTTAGGCTTTTCTGGCACTTTGATCACAATCTTCTTGATGGAACGACCACCCTTGCAGCGTAATTTATCCCTGATCTTCTCCGGCGAGCAGCACACCACCTTGATTTTCACCTTGTTTGCCTTCTCATCATACTCCTGATCTCGTATTTCTTTAATTAATTTGTTCATAATACAACGACTCAGTCCATTTCGCTAATCAATTTATTCAATACATACGGAAATTATATTAGGAGAGAATAATATTAATTGAAGAAAGAGACTCACCAGGAAATTTGCAGAGAAATTTTTTGACCTTTTTGTAGCATTTTGAGCACTGTAGGTCCACATCGAGCTCCATTATTGTCCCCTCTAAAAGAATATATGTTTAGATATACATATATATTATTGAACGTCATTCACCTTATATGTATATATATACATATATATATGCCATGCATGCAGAGAAAGAATTGAATTTAATTTTCGAAAAAGGATTAATTATAAGCAAAATTAAAATTATGGCGCCATATGCATCAAACCAAAATACATAACTATCCCTTAATTTTCATAGAGAGAGAGATGTATAACAGCCACAGAAAAGAAAGAAAAAAAAATGGAGGGTATGAATTTAGCACCAACCTTCTCGGCCATGGCTGCTATGGATAGAATTAATTAAGGCAAGCTGATTCTTAAGAAGTAGGGCGGGCGAGGGAGGGGTATCTGGTTCCACGCATTAACAGTAGTCAATGGCACTCGTCAACGTTTGTTTTTGCACAAGTACGTGGGTCCGTCTAATTGGGCCAATCCTTTCCTTGCATGTGCTGCCTGTCAGACCTTTCACCTTCACATGTACAA